ATATAAGGTGAAAGATGATCTTATAGGTTGTTTATATAGAAAATAAGTTGAAAGGATTAAATTTAAATATGTATATAAAATAATCTAAATATATCTTATACAAAGTGATCGAACTATGTAAATGTAAGAGTTATTTAGTCTTTTACTTAATAATAAAAGTCGTTTTTCCTATAATTTTCCTTCAATTGAAAAGGATTCAAAATATGGGCGAGTCCCACAAAATTTTCTGTTTCTTTCGATTTAAGTGATCGCCAAACTGTGGAAGGAATGGAAGATTTAATAATTTTTGCTTGTACCCTTTCATTCCTCTCTCTCTTTCGTGCATTAAATTACAAATGTTAAAAGTCATATTTTATATTATTTTTAAATTATTGATAACTTTTTTTCTTACAGTAATAGTATGTAAAAATCAAATTATCTGTATACACGCAATAGTTTGAGTTTGAGTTTTGATAAGTTTTAATATTTTTGTTAAGCTTAAAAGTAGTACATACTTTCAATTATCTTGATTTAGTATACACAATATATAGACTGACGACCGAAAAACAAAAGAATATTTAGGTTTAATGTACTATATACCTATGTGAGCAATAATTATACATTACTTGGGCTAACATGTATGCATTTAAAGAACAACACAACATATAGATCACTACAAGAAAAATCAAGATTATCTACGGAAAAATCCGTAGATAAATGTCAATTATCTACGGATTATTTATGGAAAAAAATCCGTAGATAAAATGGTCGTAGATAACGTTATCTACGGAATATTATCTACAGAATTTTTCGTAGATAACTCACGAAAGTTGTTATCTACGGATTTTATCCGTAGATAACTCTCATGAAATTTTTATTTAATTTTAATAAATTTATTAATGTAATAACCCTCATATTTGGCCTCTCAAGGATGCTATTTCATTACACTTCACTTTTTAACATGTTTTGTCCTTATTGCACATTTTCTGGGAAGCTTCCCAGAAGGTCACCCATCCCTATACTACTCCAGGTCAAGCACGCTTAACTGTGGAGTTCTTATGAGATAGGCTACAGAAGAGCTAATGCATGTTATCAGTATAAGTAGTACAAATTAATTCATTTAAGTACAATCTGGTTCTGCTCAAATTTTAGCTCCTACTTATCCAGGTAAGGGGGAGGAGAACCTTATCTTTTTAAAATTTTATATACTACTATGTTTATTTATTTATGTTATTTTATTTAGTGGGGTGTCCCTAACCTCATTTATTTGCTTAACATTTGATTATTTTTGTCTATAATAATTATTAAGGTGTTCATATTTTATATTGTTTCATTATTTTATAATGATTGTCATTTTTATTTATATTATTGGTACTATTAATATATTCTTTTTACGTAAATATATTTATTGTAAATATATTTATAATTAACTATGATATAGTTTTGTTAAAGTCTCTTTGACTCATATTGTTATTATTTCTTCACGTATTTATGAAGATAAATATTGTTCTATGGCCATAGAAGATAAAGTTTGAATTATTTGTAGCTGGAGGTTTGACCTTGGGGATTTAAATGAGTAA